TATGGGCACTGGTTCATGTCCTGGCTGCTCCAATTCCCATCCAGCTCCCTGCTTGTGGCCTGGGAAAGCAGTGGAGGACGGCCCAAAGCCTTGGGACCCCGCACTCGTGTGGGAGACCAGAAGAGGATCCAGAGTCCTGGCTTCAGATGGGCTCAGCTCCAGCTGTTGCAGCCACTTGGGGAATGAACCAGCAGATGGAAGATCTTTCTCTCTGTCTCTCCTTCTCTCTGTGGATCTCCCTTTCCAGTCACAATCTTTAACCAAAAACAAAAATCACTGTCCTCCCTTCTTCTCACCCCTCCTCCCCCTGGCTACTGCTGCTGCCTTAGTCTCCATAGCTTATCTTTTCCAGAATTTCACGTGGTTAGAACCATGCAGTATGTAACCTTCTTAAATCCGCCTTTTCACTTAAAAACTCAGGTTCTTCTGGGTCTTTTTGTGGCTTGACAGCTCCTTTAAAAAAGAAAATATTTATTTTTATTGGAAAGTCAGATGGCTGGGCCATTCTCCACTGCTTTCCCAGACCACAAGCAGGGAGCTGGATGGGAACGGGAGCCCATATGGGATCCCAGTGCATGCAAAGTGAGCATTTAGCCAATAGGCTAAATGTTATCACAAAATGTGAATGAACCTAGACCATGGTGATGGAGTCTCTGCGGGCAGTTGGGTGGGCTGCGCCCCTTGGAACTCTGCAGGCTCAGCCTCCAGCGCCAGGTTGGTGGTCTCACTGTGCCCATCACTCTCTCACTTCAGCTGGAGGCGTTCAAGCCCTCGCTGCTGGCTCTCTGGATTCACGTCTACCTTCCATTCTTACGGTAGCAGATTCTCTTAAAATGTGAGTCCTCAATCCCTCTAGAAGAGTCGTTCGTTTTTCACCTTGTTTGGCTTTTTTCTTGTTGGGAAGACAGAACTGGCAACTGCCAAGCTCTTGGTGAATCAGACTAGGAACTGGAACTCCGTGTTCTGTGCCCTTCTGCTGCCAGGTCTCCGGTATTTCAGAAATTTTGTAGGAGGCAGAACTTCAAAAGGTCACGGGGAATCCACTATTTTCCATGTTCATTTTTCCGTTATCTTTCAGAAGTCTTCTAGTATTTCTCTCCTATGGTCAATGTTAGAACTTTTATTTTTGTAAAGTTTTCACTTCCTAGAGATCCTTCCTTGAGCAACAGGAAAGTTAGCTCATGTTCTATGCTCCAGTGGTAGCTTGATGATCTTAGTAGCTTAATTTCAGAGTCTGCGTTTGTGTTTGTGAACCTGTCAATATTCCAGCCGCTTGATTCATGGGTCTAAGATAACACCCACTGGCTTCCAGGTATCACAGTTGGTTTTATTCCTCATCCTTTCTTGTCTTTTGCCTTTTGCTTTCAGCCGCTGTTTCATTTCTATAAATGTGCTTCAAAAAGCTTATAGAAAATGGAAATAAAAATATGAGTTCGTTATGGTGCAATATCTCGATGAAGCATGTTACAAAATCACCACATTGATTTCTCTTACTATCCTTTCAAAATCTTACTTTATATTGAATAAGATTCATAGATTCCCCATAATCATTTTTATCATGCTCTTTGCTACTACTTGGTTAGTGGAGGTTTTCCTCTCAGATTCTATCTCTTCATGGAATTTATAAATTATTATTATAAAATTATAGCAGACATGCTCTTCGTACTGATTGTTTTATCTGCTTTCCGTGGCTGTTGATCCAACGGGCTCCTATTTGCAGCTTCCGAGGGTCTGCTGGCTTGTTTGGCATCGTCCATTTTCTCCATTTTCTCTTCACTTTTCTACTTCGGCAATTCTCCAATTTACTTTCAGCTTTATTCCACTGTTCTGTCCCTGATTTCTTGGGAAATAAAAGATTAAAACTCAGGGCTGAAATGCATTTACTCTCGTGGCTCAGAGAGGAGATACCCCAGAGATGAAAGAAGACAAATAAGTTCCCCGTAAACACACTAATGACAGCCTTCTGGCAGAGCGACTAAATGGTTTTATGGAAGAAAGGCTTTAGGGAGAAAGGCTTTTAGCAGAGCACGCCTGGTTATTTAGAAACCTGGATTCCGCGTATAATGGACATGATTTCAGGGAACGTACCATACAAGCAATAACCACATGAATGTAAAGCAGAGATGCTTTACGATCTAAATGGTCCGCTCGGGACGTAGGTCTGTGCCAGAAAACTTCTAATGCAGCTTGTGAAAAGGCCTGGGAGCGCTTCGCTAAGTACTTCATTATTTGACAGTGCGGTCTGCTTATTTATGTTCTTGGTATCAATAATGTAGTTTGATTTCTTTTTCATATAACTCTTATTGGACAGTTTAATCCTTTTATTTGAAAGACATCACAATTCTTAGCCGTATCATTCATTAATTTTGAGCCTTTGTGTTTTCCAACGCACTCATTAAGTGCTAGCATTTCCCCAGAAGTGTTCCACAAGTTTTGAAAGGTAATATTTTCATGATTATTTGTTCAAAATTTCTTAATTCACCTTACGGAAAATATACAAAGGTCTTCCCAAACATACAATAAACCTGATTTTATAGTTAATTTTTTTGTTGCAGATAACACACCTAATTGCACCATTGTCAAAGAATGCTTATATGATACTAAATTCACTAAATTCATAAATATTAATTTTAATTTAATTTTGACTCTTTTTTTATTGTTAGTTGGCATTTTAATGTATGTCTAACGGATGCTTTAGGAAAGGAGCAGCGAGCTAGGCCCACAGACTCATTCAGACAGAGGCCTGTTTCTGTAAATGAATGTTTAATGGAACATTATCACATCTCTCCATCCAGCCACCTTTGTGCTACCGTGCTGGAGTAATTGTGTCACAGACCAAATGCCTGAAAAGCCTAATTTATTTACCACCTGCGCCGATACAGAAAAACCTTACTATCCTTACTCTCTACGACAATGTATTCTCTGAACTTGGGGGGAAATTTTCTATGTATCCATTGGCTAAAACTGACATGAACTCAGAGTTGCCTAAATAATCAACATATCCTTGGTTAATTCCTTTTGTTTCAAGTTATCCATTCCTAAGAAAAGAATATGAAAGTATGTTAAGTAACATACATACAATCTGTTTTAAGTATGCAAATATAAAGAACAGATACACCTTCTTGGTTAGTTGATTTTGGAAATTTAAATATTGAGTGGAATTTTGGTTTCACATTAATAGAAATACACTTTGGCTTGTTTGGGTCTGATTGTTATTTTTAATCAATTTATTGTCAATATTGTTTATGTTTCAGATATCTCTTTTGAATTGCCAAAAAAATGGGCTTATTATTTATTTCAGGAAAATAATCTTTGTCTTTAGAATCTCTTCCATCCACAATAATATGTGGTTATTGCTTATCTAAAAATTATTCCATAAAAATAAGTAAATATTTAGAAAGCAGGGTAGTGGCACTGTGACATAGCACGTTAAGCCTCTGCCTGTGATGCCCTGTGCTTTTTATTTGGTCCCTTCCGTTTTTCACCTCTCTTTCCTTGCTGGAAACCTAGGACCTGGAAGTCAAGTCAGGTTTTCCAAAGGTACAGCAGAGACCCACCCACTTGAATCACCATCTGCTTAGATTGCACAGGATCAGGATGAGAAGCAAAGCAGCCAGGACTTGAATCAGGTACACCAACACAGACTGTGCCCATCCTAAGTGATGACTCAACACCCTAACAATGACATCAAATGCTTGCCACCAAATCTGATTTTTTAAAAAAATAAAACAACATTTTATTTCAGAAAGGGATAACGGTAAAAGTAGCATATAGTTCGCTTATTCATTTAGAATTGTAGAATGCACTGGAAACATGTTTATTTTCAGAATGTAATAAACTGGCAACTTCAGTTAGCTAGCTCATCTACTAATAAAAAAAAGCTCATCTAATTCTAACAAACTCAATAAATAAAAAAAAGGTTGCTAATACATTGCTAAAATTAAAAATTAAAGCTAAGCAACTCCTCTGTGTAAGAAGAAATACCTTACAGGCTAAAAGCTGTTCTAGCACATTCACTTTAAAATGTAATGCAGAATATCAATTTGTTGTGTAAATGACAGCACTGTGATTCCGATGAATAATTCCCAGGGAAAGGCTGGCTAAGTACAGAAGGGCGTATCTCTTCAGTATCAGGTATCAGAAGAGCCAGCTAAGCAGAAGGTACAAGATTAACAAGAGATTAACATCCATTTCAGTCTCAGAGGGGAGCGCCTGGCCTCACTGCCTGGGACCATATCAATTTGTGTCTTCGCTCAAGAATCCATTAACACCAAATATTTGGTAAGATAAGGTGACTGAGGCGCTCGGGTTCAGAAGCCTGGGCTGGGAAGTGAGTGTCAACACAGATTTTCCATTCTGTGTGCATTAAAGGATAAGAATATCAAAATAAGATTAGCTTTAGAAAGGAAAAAGGAAATGGATCCCTGGTCTTTAAAGATTAGTCTAATTTGAAGTCACTGTCTGGGCCTAGCAATTTCCCAAGGACAGCAGTGTATATATATGCAAATAAGCATCTGTCCATTCAGGCTCCAAAGGCCACAGAGACCTAAAGAGAACTCTAACAAAGCCACCTGGAACTGATCTCTAAGGCAAAAGAATGGAGAAAGAGAAAAAGGCAAGCCTCAGTTTACCTAGCACTGAGGAGAGAATGCCAAGATTGTATTTTAATTTACAGATGAAGTGAGAGCAGTCAGGTCCTGGACCTCCTGAAACATGGACACTATTAGCCCAAGGAAACTGAGGGCTCAGCATCGGTGGGGACCCTCCAAGCCCTGTGGCCGCCAGGGAGAGGTGTGAAAAAAGCAGACAGTGAAAGCAAAGCAGACAGTGATGGAAATTGAAGATCTCACAGCAGGAAGAAGTCCAGAAGCACAATTCACACTGACTCCTAGAAGTGTGTCATTTTTTCAAGCTGTCGTACTTGCCCGCAGCAGGAGCAGCAGAGAACTCTGGGACTAACGAGCCTAGAAAACCACCTGAACCCTCACAAGGTGCGTGTTGTTGTTGATCTGGGAAGTCCCGGGACCAGAAGATTCAGGACACATTAGGCTGGTCAGAAAATCAGCTACATCCATGTAGAAGCCCCTGTAGGAAGGAACGGAGGTCAGTTTTGTTTTTTTCCCGTTTGGTGAGAATCTTCCTGAAGCATCGCAGCAGACGAGCAAGCATTGGGCACGGCAGTGAGGATGCCAAATGGAGCGTTCTAGCAGAGGTTACCTGAAAGAGGGAGGGCTTGGAAATGGGATTGAGCTCAAAGACAAGGAACTGCAGTTCGACGGAATAAATGTTTGGAGGCCTAACCATAGTGGGAGGATGCCAGTCAGTAATGCCGTTAAAATTTTTGTTAAGAAATTTGATTTTAGAAGCTCTTAGATAAAAAAAGGGCAAGTAAATATGGAAGTGATGATGTGATAAATTGCTTACCTGTAATACCTTTTACTGTGGGTATCCAACTGAGATATTATACTACACACCCTCAATGTATACATCAACAAAACATTTAACTTTAGTAATAATTCTGGAATCATACAATAGCATTTTACTATAACTGAGCAATGATTTAAGTTTCTGTCTCATGGCAGTGTTTTGGGCATTGCCATACAGTCTCCCATGAACTGTCTGAAAAACTCTCTTACACTCAGGTTTGTTGTAATCCAGGAAATTCGGAAGGTCTCACTAGAGAACCTGTGGTTCAATGCTGTGACATGCGCGCATAGGGTAGAAATGAGTAGTTCAGAACATTTTCCCTAAAATGAAACCTTGTGAAAACCCTGTCTTGTTAAGAGCCATCCCACAGTGTCTGTCTGGCTTGGAGACTCAGATGCCAACTGGGGGGTGAACGCCATTGCACAGCACATAAAGCTGCTGCCTATAATGCTAGCATCTTATACCACTGCCTGTTTCCATCCTCAGCAGGGGTTCTGCTTCTGATCTGGCTTCCCACTGGTAGGCTGGGAAAAGCAGCACAAGATGCCCCAAGTGTTTGTGCTCCTGCCACCCACATGGGAGAGCTGGATGAAGCTCCTGGCTCCTGGCTCCGGTCTGGCTAAGTCCTGGACATTGCAGCCACTTGAGGAGTGAACCAGCAGATGGAAGATTCTACGTGTTTTTTGGTTTTTTTGTTTGTTTGTTTTTTCCTCTTCCTCACTTTCTGTGATTCTGCCTTTCAAATAAATAAATAAATCTTTTCGGGAAGAAATGCCAATTGAGATACCCATGTTTCTTATTGGGGTGCCTGGGCTCAAATCATGACTCCACTCCCAACTCCAGCTTGCTGCTCATTTCCATGCTCTAAGACAGCAGGAAATGACTCAGGGACCTGGGCAACACTCAAGTGGGAGACTCAGAACCGAGCTGGCTTCAGCCCAGCTCTGACTTTCACAGGCAGACATTTAGGAAGAAACCAGTGGATTGACACACACTCTCTCTCTGCCTCTCAAATATATCTATATCTATCTATCTATCTATCTATCTATCTATCTATCTACCAAAATTTAAAAGAAAAGCCATCCATTCCTCTTTTTTGTCTGTGTGACTAATAGGAGACATTCCTTTGAAACAGGCTATCTGTAAAACCACAGTAATATATGCCCTCACCCTGACTGTGGTGAGAAAGAATTTCTTTGATTGCAGAATTTCCTGTGACTGCTTTATTTTCTCCTCTCTCAGTATAAGGTTATTTATATTTGATTTGCACTTAGTAAGTGTACAGACTTATGGGGCTCAGTGTGACAGTTTATGTGTGTGCACATGCATGCCTGAGGCTACGGATTCACAGGGTATTGTGCACTTACATTCCTGTGCTTAAATAAGATCATTACTTGTTTGGATGTTCACAGTGCCCTGTTTGATACTCTCCTGTTTTTGTAAATATTCTTTAGCCTTTAGCTTCCTTGATTTCTGGAGAAAGATAATCCAGGTTCCTCAAATCTATTCCTTGCCCCAGACACAGTCCCAGAGATTTTTTCCCAAGGTCACAGTCTAGTTGGTAGATGTGCACGTAGTGCGGCTAAGTCATCCCAGCAAGCATGCAGTTAGGGTGTGGGCGAAGTCACAGCTGATCTCCCGGGGTCCCTGGGATGAAGCCTAAGGGTGCAAACCTCCCTTACAGTGCTTGAGGGGTCGGGGGAAGGTGATTAGGACAGATAAGAACATGGCGGAACACTGGCAACTTTATAAGAAGGGGGAGACAGACCAGAATGGGTCACCTGTACGCTCTCCCTGTCCCTGGCCGCCCGGGGATGCTGCCAGCAACAGCCTATCACCACATAGGGGCCTCGCCCTTGGACGAGAACCATGAGCCAAAATACATCTCCTTCCTTTATGAGTCTGTTGGGCTCAGGCTCAGGTATTTTACCTTAGTAAGACTGAACTAATACAAATGGGAGATACAAATATTACATTATAAATAATATAATTATCATAAAATGATTATATGTTACATATGATTTATATTTAATACATAAACATATATGTGTAATGTATAACAAATAAATATATAAAAATTTGTTATATATGCTTTATATATAAAATGGGTTCACACCAATATTTCTAGTTCCAAAATTAAAAGTTCTCTTGTAATATCTTCAATTTTATACCTGTACCTCATTTCTACTTAACAATGAAAGTCTTGACTTTTAAAGAAAAATAAATGCTTGCCCTTTCTTATAGAAAATTTAATGTTTAATATATACTATGGTAAAAATGGCACAAATATTATTAATGCTAATAAGATTGTTAAATGTATTTTTAGGTATTTTCAGAGATGGGGAAAATATTCACTTTGAAAGTTACTGGAAATACTTCAATAGCAGAATGATGGACTATCCAGGAGTGGCTGCCCATTGTAATACTGGAGGGGAAATCAGTGGTGGGTGAGGGGACGAGGGGACTTGGCGAGGAGGATGGGAAATCCCAGAGCCTGTGGAATTGTATTATAAAATAATTGTTTAAAAAAGAAAGACATTGGAAGTAAATATATTTCCCTTGTGTAGCTATGCCAATCTTTAAATTTCAGTAAAGTTCAATCATTTCAATCTTGTTTTCAATATTTAAAGAAATAGGGGCCACTGTGGTGGCATAACACGCTAAACCTTCACATACTGGCATCCCATATGGATATTGGTTTGTGACCTGGCTACTGATCCAGCTGTCTGATATGGCCTAGGAAAGTAGCCCCAGCCCCAGCCCTTGGGCTCCTGAACCCACCTAGAGACCAGGCAGAAGCTCCTGGCTCCTGCCTTCAGCATGGTTCAGCTTTGGCAGGTGTGATAATTTGAGGAGTGAACCAATGGATGAAGGTCTCCTTCTGTATCTCCCTCTCTTTCTGCAACTCTGACTTCTAAGAAAAATAAATACATCCTTTAAAAATTTTTAAAGACATTTTTTAAAAATTCTTTTTTTGATTTCAGATTTTGCTGATTGATTTAGTTTTTTGAAAGAGAGAGAGAACCTTCCAGCAACTTGTACAACAGCTAGGTCTGGTCCAGGCTGAAGCCAGGAGCCAGAAACTCAATCTGGTTCTCCTACTCGGGCAACAGGAACTCAAGTACCTCGCCATCTTCTGCTACTTTGCAGGAAGCTGGAGCAGCAGCAGAGCAGCCAGGACTTGGACCAGCACTCTGATACAATGCTAGCGTCGCAAGCAGCAGCTTAACTCACAGCACCACAACTCTGCCACTAAAATTTTGGCTTTTAGTTATATGAAGTATCTACATGGCTCTACATCAAAATTTATGCAACAGAGTCCACTCACATGAGTTCATCTCCCATCCTTATCCATTCCTCTGTTCTCTTCTTCCTTTCATAGGTAAGCAACCATCTTTAATATAATTTTATTTCTGTGAAGGTTATGTATTTATTCATATTGCTCAACGCTGTCTTTTTTTTAATTCTAGGAGTTCAATGATGTTCTTATCTTGTCATTTTGCTCATTCTTCACTTATAACTTTTTGCACCAATCCGTAATGATGGATATCTGATTTGTTTCCATGATCAACCATGTCGTCAAGCATATATCCATTTTTTTCAAAGATTTATTTACTTTTTTTTTGGAAATGGAGAGTTACAGAAATAAGGAGAAACAGAGAGAAAGATCTTCCATCCGCTGGTTCATTCCCCAAATAGCTACAACCAATCCGATGCCAGGAGCCAGGAGTTCACTCAGAGTCTCCCATGTGGTGCAGGGTCCCAAGGCTTTGGCCCATCCTTTACTGCTTTCCCAGGACACAAGCAAGAAGCTGGATCGGATGTGGGGCAATTAGGACACAGGCTGAGGCACATATGGGATCTTGGTGCTTGTGGCAGGGGGAGGAGGAAGGGACCTTAGCCAATTGAGCCATCATACTGAGCCCGGGCGTGTATCTATTTCAAATAGATTTTAAATGAGATTATGAGGGTAAACTACGCTTATAATTTTGCTAAATAAGGTGCTATCTGTTGTAGCATATATACCACTCTAAAGTAAGATGCTAACAGGAGAAATTGTATATTTGTCAGGGGATGAAGCCTCATAATAAGTACTTCCTGCTAAGTTCTTTCTCCTTTTTAAAATTATATAAAATCTTCCATCCCAATTCACTCCGCTGACGGCCACAAGGCCCAGGACTGAGTCAGAAGCCAGGACTCAGGAGCTCCATCTGGATGTTGTATGTGGGCAGCAGGAACTCGATTATTCAGAACAGCAGGGAGTGGATCAGAAATGGAGCACCAAGGACCAGATCCCTTGCACACATGGGGTGCTGGCATCACGGGCAATGGCCATAGCACCTCCCCTCAGTTCCACTTTTCTATAAACCTAAAACTACTCTAGGAAATTAAAAAAAAAAAAGTCTCTTTTAAAAGATAAAAATAAATAGATAAATAAATGGCATGTTTTAAATATGTTAATCTTGTTCTAAAAGGCACGTTCACCAGGCCTAAGTTATGGGTGGGGGCTAAATGACTAAATTCACTTCTGGTTTCTTTTCTGGAACATTATAAATAAATATCTTAACTAGTACAAAACTTTTAATAATGTAAGTGGTATTCAATCCATTATATCTTAAGAAATAATGTAATAGCAGGAAAATGTTTTAAATTCATCTATATATTTATATCTGTATCTATGTCATCTATACATAGAAGTATAAATGAAAATAGATACAGAAAAGTGAAGTGGTCTTTTCACTCAGAACATTTCTGACTTTGTGAAATTCAGTCAAGGATGTTTTAAATTCAAAGATGTAGTTTGCCTTTTAAATAAACTCCCTTGCTCCCCGTGCTGAGCTGTGACACAACAATCCTGGGTCTATCGTCAGTAGCATCTACAACCAAGATGTCTTTTAAAGTGTCGGTAAATCTGCCAGTTTGTTTCCTTGGGCCTCAAGTACAATCCAAACTTTAAATACGTGATGAAATGAAATGTATTTGCCAGTCTTTTTATGCTTCTATATGTTCAACATACATGACTATGCTGCATTGTATTATTTTAGTTATTATTATCTTCTGAAATCAGAAATAGCAACCTCAGGAATGACTGAGTGGAATCTGGTTGTGTATCTTATATACTTTGAAAATTCAGTCTCAAAAACAAGTGATTAGTGAACTGGAAATGATGGGTTCACATTCGAATAACAGCTCATAATATATGAAAACTGGGAAGCAGAGTGGCTCTACGGAAGCGCGCTGGGCCCATAATGTATGAAAACTACATAAAAGGAGTAACATGTCAATAAAAACTGGTGAATTAATCACTGATGACTCATTTTCTTGTGCTATATATTATTTCTCAAGGATAACTATAAAAGCAAAGAAATATTCACAAGATGACATACAGGAAAATTTCTAAAATTTCTTCTTCCAAGTTTCCATGCGTCTCTTGACAAAGGGATATGTTAAAGTCTTGATTTTCTTTTCCTTCTTGAAGCCTAGAGTTAAGGGAAAAAAAGTCAATATCAGATGCGTCCAGTGACCTGAAGTCGCTGCTTCCAGTATGCTCATGCTATTTTTAATGAATAGCAAGTCAGTTCGACCCATCACACACTCCACCCCTTAAAATACAAGGATACAAGGATGCATCTGCACCTGCTGGAGCTAGCCAATGCACGCATCCAGATGAAACTCACAAGCAGCAAAGGGTTATGTAGAATCAGCACAGAAGGGGCCACTGGATATCGGTCATATGGCTTCCTAAGCAACGCTCTGATGCATTATCTCTCGAGTTTAGAAACTGAAGAGGGAAAAGCTTACCGCCTCTCATGCAAGCCTGTCTGCAGTCCTGCAGGTTGACGAAGTTGTTCTCATTCCCTCCGCAGCCAGTGTAGGTGAAGGCATCGCAGTCCTTCTTCTGAGGGTTAAAATGGTAGCGGGTCACGTTGGCAGAGCACAGGCCCTTATCTTTTGGACTGTAGCAATATGAGGGGCCTTTATGAAAAACAAAAATAAAAAATCAGAAATTCTTCAACTTCAAAATTAATCAACTGTGGTGATTACTGGAGTAGTTGGGGGGTGGGGGAGAACTAATCCCACAACAGTCTCATTCTGATTCCAAAATGATAGGTCTTTGAAAAGTTTTTTTATTATATATAAAACACATACTATGAAAAAAAAACACTATGCGTTAAAAAAATGTTTTGTAAAAAGCCAAACTTGTTTTTTGAATTCTATTTCTCACAAGCTTCCTGAAATATTATGGCATGGTAATAAACCAGTTTAAAAATGTGCTGGTAGGCTTCCCTGCTACAGTTTGGTCTTTCTAAACTTTTATAAACTGGGCAAAATTTCTTCTGAAACTATGTCTTTGCATCCTCTGAATATGAAAAGAAAGTAAAGTCCAAACATTTATGCTTAAGGGAAGATGGGCTAAATGTCAAAGGATAATAAATGATGTGCTCTGATAAACTTTCCCACGCTGGTAGTTTTATTTTAAATAATCTGTTCTCCTTCTGCTATAAATCAGGAACTAAAACTTTTAATTTCCAGCTAACCAGCCCTGAGGCACGTATATGCATACAAACAATGCAAGAGAATGCCTGCGGACTGCACCCTACAAACTCACAATTTTGCATTTTCAACACAGAAGAATGACAGAGCCTCATCAAGCTCTACCAAGAAAGTGTCCCTTGATTGCTGAATGCCTGTCCTTATTGCCTCTGGCGGAGCAGTTTCTACTTCATTCCTCCCCACAAATGCTAAATGGTCTCTAAGGAACCTAGCATTGGAAGTGGGCTAGGTAGGGGAGGAAAATCCGAACAAGGATTTCTCTGTGCCGCAACTTGCAATTGCTAGGAACACAGAAACCAACTGAGTCGGCCTATATTTTGCTCTCTCACATACACAACTGGCGCCACACACACCTGAGGCCGTGGAGCATGAATAAACAATGTAATTGTTCATGCGCAAATTGAATGAGTAAGAAAATAAGATTGAGCGCCCTTATCCAAAATGGTTGAGACCAAAAGTATTTCCAGATTTTGGAATTTTTGTAAATTTAGGAATGTTTTCCCAAATGATTCTTGTGGTAGGATCCCAGACTAAAAATGAAGCTCCCTGTTTCTCATATATGCCTTCTACACACAGCCTGCAGGGAATTTTACACAATCTGTTCAGCAGACAACATTCTTAGGCATTTGGGCTGTAAGTTGTCACACAACGCTGCATGCACAATTTTCCAGGGCTGACGTCATGGTGTCATTCAAAAAATTACGATTTTTGGATTTTTAGATAAAGGATGGTTAACTTGTAGTTCTTAATAACAGAGAATTCCTCAGTTAGGTCAGAGGCTGGCAAGTCAGCAGCTTGTAGCTTACACCTCCATATGGTAACCAGGGATACGCCACTCCCACAGAAGGCCAGAGGATGAAGACCAATACTGCACTACACAGGAAAGCAAGCCACATTAATTTCACATCAAATTACTAATGTTTTCATCTGAAAGCCTGAACACAAAAATGAATTAGGAAACACCATAAAATAGTATTTACTTTTCTTTGGCGCACAGTAGCCCATACAAGTGGCTTTGTCTGGGAACCGGTTCTTATTACAGCCGTAGCCAGAAGTTGGAAATTTTTCACATGTCATGGAACTTAGATTGAAGTAATACCGTCCCACAGATCCGTGACAATAGTCTTTCTTGATTTCCAAGCGGCAAATTTTGGGAACTTCTAGGAAAAGTGGAGCAGTAGAACATGATGAACCCAAAGTGGCCCTCTTAGCAACACCTCGGAAACTTTGCTGTATTTTCAAGTGGAGGTGGGATGGGGAGAGAAATCATGTTTGATGTTGGAAGAGTAACTCCAAGCGACTCTTCTTGAACTTGGCGACTCAGTATTTTCTTTCGGAATCAGTGCGGACTTGCTGCTGTCTTTCAGGCACAACCAAAGACTCCGATCTGTTTCTACCAAGTTCTGCTGGCTCAGTTCCCTGAGTGGCAGAGCCTTCCACTGTGCTACAGACCTTAGCAGACAGGATGAAAGTCAAGTACACACACACACACACACACACACACACACACACACACACACACACGTATTTGTAGATATGTATGTAAAATAGAATACAATACTGTGAATCTCTGCCACCACATTCCTGTACTAATCCAATCTATGTTTGGGTTTCAGTGCACAAAAATAAAGTTACAAAATTAGCTAAGTCACACTTCAGTGATAAAATACACTCAGGGTATTTCAGGTTGATGGGTAACTGACAGGAGGAAAAAGCATGCACACACACACACACACACACACACACACACACACTCCCGGGAGGGGAGAAGGAAAGCCCTAAGTTTTGGAGCTAATGACACACACAGAAAAGCACTTGTGTCGCATCTCAGGACCCCAGTACACTTACTAAGCCCTCAGATGATAGAACACATTTTGCCAGAGTTCAAACTGGCCCCGAGTCAGGATAAATACCAGTGTGGGTTGGGTATAGTATTGGGGGTCCTAACCTCGAGATTATTTAGTCTGAAACCAGCCCAACACTAGAGACCCCTGAGGCTGCGCTAGCCGCCTGCTTGAGGCCGGCGAGCAAACTTCCTCACTTACTCTCGATCATCCAGCAGGCCTCGTGGCATTCCTTCCACGAGTTGAAGTTGTTGGCGTTGCCCTCGCAGCCCCCATAATAGAAGAGGCTGCAGCTCTGCGTGCGTCTGTCGTAGTAATACCGGGGAATGCGCGCTCGGCAGCGCCCGACCTCCCGGGGCAGGAGGCAGATCTCCGCCTTGGTCCCTGTAGGAGAGAACAGGGGGAGCCCCGGGGAGGGACGTCAGCTTTGTCCCGCCTCGTCCCACAGGAGCCGCCTCTGCACCGGGCTCCCTGGGGTCCAGGAGAAGAGGACTTGGCCAGCTGGTGCCAGAAGCTCCTCTGCCTCCCGGGCCGGCTTTGCCCGGCCCCATGGACTCGACAGGAAAGGGATCCCAAGCCAACGCCGTATCTGTGGCCCTCCCATACCTCTGGGTGCCTGGGCAGCCTCGTCCAGCGCGGCCACCAGCACGAGCAGCAGCAGGAGCCACACGGAACGAGCTGGGATCATGCTGCCGAGGATGGTGTGGGACCCTCGAGGGCAGGCGTTGTCAGAAGGCGCGGGGAAGGAGCAGGTGTGCAGAGTCTGCACTGCCGGCGGGCGGTGAGCGCCTGCTTTATGAGACCCCCGACGGGACGGGGCGGAGCGCGGCAGCGGAGCCCGCAGGGGCGGCTGATTCACGCTGGGGCAGGGCCAGCCGCACCCGCGGGGCAGCGCGTGTGGGCGCCAGCGGAATTCCCCTCTAGTTGAAAAGTTAAACTCGTTTCCCAGACTTTCTCCGGAGGTCAAACGGGAAGACCCAGATAGAGTGTCCGTCGGTGTCGGCGGGCTGCAGGGAAACGGCCTATGTGGTGGTGCGAAGCAGCTGGAAGCCCATTCCTGAAACTGTCCATGGGCGAGATCCAGAGTGAGTTCATGTGCCCCGTGGGGGGCTGGGTTCATTGCAATAGATGCTGTATATTTACACATGCAGTCCAATTACTTCTCATTTACACTTAAACGAATGACTTATGATAATCGTTTATCCTAGGCAAATGATTTGATGAACTGAAAGTCTTTTTTTTTAATTTATGGGAAACATACACACACAAACACAGCTTTCATCTGCTGATTCTCTTCCCCAAATGATTCCAGTGGCCGGGGCTGGCAGGGTCCAATGAGCCACCACCTGCTTCTTTGCAGGTGCAAGTTACCAAGAAGTTGACAGGAGAAGCCCACCAACCCTTCCATTCCCAGCCCTGGACAAGCACTTCAGATCTCTACCACTGTAACGTAGCTTGGGCTGCCTTCACTTTCTTGCTAATGGAATCAAAGAAAGTTCTTTTATTGAGATACACCCATGTACCTATGTGCATCAATAGTTTGTTTCTTTGAATCTCAGAACAGCAATGCATGAAGACACTAAAATGTATGAATATGCTACAACGTGTGAATATGTTTTTACATGTAGCGATAGTTTGTTCCTTTTTCCCATGGAGTGACATTCCAATATGTGAGTATTCAAAAATTGTCCTGTTCCTGGGTATTGGTGCTGTTTCTAATTTCAGCTATTAGGAATCAAGCCGCTATATGAAAACATACTTTTCACTACTTCAGGATAAAGTACTTAGCACTATTAGAAACTGCCAGTTCTCATGATTAATTAGACCACTTTAAACCATCACTGCACATGTCTGAGGACCACAGCTATTTCACAGAAGATGGAAGAGGAAAAGTCCCGGGGCCGGGGGTTACAGGCTGGGATCCGGAAGCTTTGGGCAGATCAGCCACATCCCACACACTTCCCAGTGCCACTCCATCTAATCAAGTTTGTTGCTCCTTGGCACATGAGCCTGTAACCTACTTTTTTTTTTTTTGTAATAAAAGTGTGCAGGAGTTTTACACAAAATATTTAAGATGTTTTTGGAGAATACCTCATGGGTTCTTTTGATGAATGTGCCATCCAAATTTCCCCTTTCTCTCTTGTTCTATTGCATATTGTCAAGTGGATAATTGTTCCTGAGGAAACTGGGTTGGCAGTGGTGTTACAGAAGTTCCGGAGGTTTCTGAGAAGCCCTGGGAAGCACAAGACACTTGCTCATTATGGGTTGAGAATCCAGGATATTTACAAACTGTGCTCCTTGTGCCAGTTTTCAAGGATCCTGACGTCACATGGTAGAATCATATTGCTAGGAACACGAACAGCCTGGTCAGCTAACATTCCCAGAGAGCCATGACTAAGAGTGACAGGCAAGAGGATGTAACTAATGACCAACTCTCCAGGACAAGAACAAAGATGACATGGAGGGTGCATCTGTTATGTACAAATTCCCATGTTGTAAGGGAGGAAAACTTTACCACTGACCCAGGATTAGGTTTGAATGGTTCTGGTTCCAGTTTACTCTTCTGAATACGATTAAATCTGCCTATAAACTGTGCTAAGATTCAGGACTTGATGTTGATTCAGAACTGTCATTCAGCCTTGACTATACACTATTTCTCCAGCGTCTTATCACTTAGGGGACACTTTTTGATCATTCTTTGCTCATATAAACATGAGCCTTTTGAATCAGGCTGGATAATTTGGGAAAACCACAAGGTGTGATGAGGCAACAGACTCAGGTGTTCTAGAACAAGATTTTAATCCTTGCTGCTTTGAGTCGTCTGAACTTCCTAGCCTTGATTTCAAGGACACGCCCACTATCTCCATTTCATCCATGTGTTGTAGGAACTGACTGCACACCGCCTGGGCTCTTGCAGAGATTGTCTGCCCTGGCACATTAGCACAGTCCATCTAGACCTTCTCAGACCCTGGTTCCTGCTGCCAGCAAACAGCAACATGAACTGGTCTTGCAGGACTGAAACCCGTGACCTTGCACCATCAGCTCATTTGTTTGAGTTTAGAGGCCACTGTCCCCTGTCTAGGAGATTGGCACACCCATCAGCTATCATTTTGTGCTCTTCCAGAGGAATGAGATCCAAGTTGCTTCATAGAAGCAGAAAACTTCAGTTTGTTGCAATGAGCGCCCCCTTCCCCAGGGTAGAGCCCATAGCTGAGGTCGTGCTCACAGAAGCATCGGAGAAAAAGAGTTGTCTTCCATTTGTGGCAAACACAATACATTGTAACCCTCCTGTTTCCACCAAGAGAGGAAGAGGGTCTGAACAGCTGAGTCAGTGACATATTTTCAAGTCAGGTTATTGGGGAAAATGACCCCTCGCGGTTACAGAACATTTGAGTGTTTCCACACCTTCCCATTTAATGAGAAGTATGGTAACATTGTTGCATTTATCCAAGGGCCCAAAGGCGCAAGTGATGATCACTCCGGTAAATCTCTGGGAGGTTCTGTAGGTAGAATCCAGGACAAAGGGTTACCACAGGCAATGGAAAAGAATTCCTTTGCCCAAAGTCTACAGGAAGCGCAACACGGGGAGCAAAGTGGGAGGAACAGCTGTCTAGAGTGACCACCATCAACCTACCAAGCGATAGTTACAGCGGCATGGTCAAAGCCAGAGCTCAGAGTACGCTGCATTCTGTTGAAATATGGCTTGGAGTTCTTTTAATTTGAATGAAAGAAAGGAACTGTCTGTGGGTTCCCATTATAAAGGGGTAAACTGAGACCTACAAAATAAAATGTCCAGGCATGGCTGTCAGCAGGGAAGAGACTAAAACCCCAACTCTTGATTCTCAGTACTGTATTCCTTCAAACAGCTAGATCTGGCCTCTGTTCTGTGGTCAGACGTCAGGGTACAACACTATAGGACTGCAACACACAAAAGCTACCTTGAGGGCAGAAACACTTCTGCAAAAGTCTGATACTCACTGCTTACCTTTCTTACTCTCCCATTAGTGTCTATATTTTTAATAATATTTATTTGCTTGAAAAAGTGACAGAGAGAGAGAGATAGAGAGAAAGGAGATCCTTCCACTGGTTCACTCCTCAAATAACCACAAGGGCCTGGGCTGGTCCAGGTCCCAAGTGCTTGAATCATCTTCTGCTGCATTCCCAGGCACATTAGCTGGGAGATGGATCGAAGGTTGAGCACCTGGGATTCCAACTGGCATTCTGGTATAGGATACTGTATGGCAAGCGACAGCCTAATCTGTTGAGCTACAATTCTGGACTTTACACTCCCTTTGGCCCTAATGTCAACTAGATATGAAGTTTATTTGAGATGGATTCTCCCACAAAGTGCACACCATGTGCACATTAAGAAGGTGTTTACACACCTTCTAGAGACAACAGTTCACCTTTCTGAGTTTTGCAAATCTTGAGGCCACTCTTCCACCAACAAGGCATTGTCCTAGTTTAGTTGCACCATGTAGGAAGTGCTTGCTCTAATACAGCCTCTGTTGGACTGGGTGCCTTGCAGACTATGACATAATAGATTCTCACAAAATGATGATGCATTCTCTATGTTTTAATTTTGTCATTCCTATTCTCTCTAGAAAATGGGATAACAGAGTATATCATATATCTCTACTTGTCATCATTCTTTCATTCACGTATTTTAAAATAATCTGGTTGTAGGTGTAAAACATGCCACATTTAGAGGTTTGGAGTGAATGGGATCCATTAGGGATCTCACAGCATGACAGGGTAGACAGATGAGCATTATAAAACCCAATAAGACGTAAATGTTCTTACTACAATATTAAAAATATGGACCAGGGAATAAAATGTGAGCACAGCTCAATTCAAAATAAAAACCAGTAACCACAAACCCAGCTGACATTATGTCTTCTGAGTCCATGGGCCACAGGCATGTATTCCTTCAGCCAGCTGCTTTGGATGCGTCTTGTAGGTACTGTATTGCTTCTGCAAATGGGGTCACATCGAAGAGGCATCTTTCCTGTGCCCTGGATATAAACTTCTTCACACATTATTGTATGTATTCTACATGCAAACCATCTTTTCCATCACTCAACTTGCTGCACGTTAAACTGTGTTTGACACCTAGAAAATCAGGACAAATTTTGGAGGATTTTATCCAAGGCTTCCCAGGCAGCACAGCCTCACTACCCACTCAGAATCATAATTTTGGTTATCAAGCTGCTGGACAATAACTAACCAAGAAAGGGGAAATGTTCCCCTAGTTTCTGGACAGCAGGTGGATGAGAATGCTAACAAATACGACAATGTGTATTCAGAGTTTGTGTTTGTGCTGTGCGTTGTCTTTACGTTATATCCCAACAGTGACCACCCACGAGAGTTACACTATTCTCCCCACTCTGCAATGAGGAAGACAAAATGTTAATGGGCTTTCCTAAAGCCACCAATTTTTAGAAGGATACTCCAACACGTGTATGGGAAATATACATAATAATAAAACTATCCATGTACCTCAAAAATTCTTTTGCACAGAGGTAAACATATTTTTTAAAACTTCACTTTCCATGGACTTTTTGAAGTGTCCTTGGGGGAGCTGGTGCAGGTGATCTGAAGCCCTGTCTCCCGGCTTCAAACCCTGCACACACATTGGTTTCTCTGCACAGTAATGGATATCTGTGACAGCTTCACTATGTACAGACTGACTGTCCTGCATCCTGAATTCTGGGAATCAAAAGTGTGCCCGGCTTTGGCACATTTGCACAGCGTAATGAGTTATCCTGGAGATGGGGGCCCAAATTCAAATATGAAATTCACTTATGGTTTACATATACCACATACACATGGCCTAGAGTGAATTTTAAACAATGTCTCAGTGGACTTGCATGTATTTTATCTCTTTCCTTGATAAATGACATAAGGTATATACTTGCATTGTAACTGTAAGTGGCTGAATAAAATCCATTGTAGAATTTTCCATTTTCAGTGAAAAGTTGTTGCTCAAAAGTTTTGAATTTGTGAGCATTTTGGATTTCAAATTTCAAAATTAGGGATGCTCAGCTTGTACAATGCACACTTAGAGCCTGCAGTCAGCATCTGGATACCCCCCTCAGACTTTTAAATACAGATATAAACTTCATAATTCATTCATAGAGGAAAATGATAGGTACCAATTAAATACATGGCCATTGTTTTCTAAATAGGACATCTGCCAGAGTTGATGATCAGATTAGAGGATTGAGTTAATCATGGATGGCCCCATTTTCAGGGTTATATTTAGCCAAAGTAATGGACCTTGAACTTTCCATGTCAAGATACATTTACCCAGAAGAACATTGCATTTTGGTAATACAACCAAAATTTCATGCTAAACACACCTTCATTATTGAAGTGTCATTTGCTTTCCAAGTATTCATTTGTTCTAGCTTTATGTGGGACAACGTTTGCACTTTATGTCACACAGGGTGGGTCAGTCTGCCTTTTGCGCCTGGATCTCCCTGATGCAAGTCTGGTAGACTCACCACGGTGTGTGGTCTGATCACTGTCTCCCGTTCCGATCTCATCCCTCACTCTCCCCTGATGGGGAGTAGCTGAGCTCAAGCAGCACTGTGTTCTGTTTGCCTGTTTCCCTCTGGGAACCTTTGCAACACCTCCTCCTTCAGCTTTGCCTCGACTGAATGAAAGGATGACTTCCTGTCTTTCTCTGCCTGGCCTCCTTGGCAGCAGCCGGGACTGGTCCCACTGGCACTACCTCTAACCCAACTGGGCTACACTGCCCTACGGCTGAGCCACTCCTGGTGACAATGCAGAATCACTGATCATGCGTATGAGTCAGTGTTGTGAATGCTCTGTTTTTTAAAGTTTAACTTAGTTGACATGGTTGATCCTCATGCTTGCCTGCAAGTGCTATAAGAGAACGATGCTCAGAGTCCCACGGAGAGCCAGTGCGCCAAGCCTGAGACCTGGACAGCATGGTCTCATAAGCATCCCGGGTATTCCTACCTCAAAACACATTTTGCGCAATCTGTATAAAAAGAAACAGAAAGTGGGCAGTCTTTGGAATTGCCCTGGCTATTTTTATCTTATTATTTGTGAAGAAAAGAGAGGAACCTCCCATTCATTGGTTCATTCCTCAGACACTCAGGAGACTGAGGCTGGGAGCCAGGAACTCAAGCCAAGTTTCCTGCGTGTGTGGCAGGAGCCTAGTGCCTCACATCATCACTGCTACCTCCCAGGCACCTCACTAACAGGAACTGTAGCTAGCTATGAAACCTAGGTGCCACACTACGGGATACAGTCATCTTAACTGGAATCTTAAACATTGAGCTAACTGCCTGCTCCAGTACTAGCTTATTTCAATTCTAAAACAAATTAACCAATTCAGGTCCTGGATGATACACTTTCAATGCAGCTCCTGGTTAATGGACTGGGAAGGGTTTGGGTGCCTCAATATTGTGGGAGGCTCCAAAGAAACTCTGGACCAACTCTAGCTGTTATGGCCATTTGGGGTATGAAACAGGGGATGGACGTTTTCTCTCTCTCTCTCTCTCTCTCTCTGAATTTTAAGCAAAATAAATAAACATTTAACAACAACATCAAGAAGAACAAAATGTGCACGGACACAGCAGTCAAAACCTCAGAGGACACAGTCCATGTTCAGGGCTGCAGTGAGTGACATGAAGGCATGAGAGTAAAATACTACGGTGTGTGAACTCCATTTCTTTTCAGAAAACATGACTGCAGAATTTAGAGCATCTAATAAATATGAACTAGGCTTATGTGTGAAAAGCAGCTCAAATGAAATTCCAAATAACTATAAACATGGTTTCATCTATGCGTTTGTCTGAGATGATATTTGATAGTTATATCAGGTGTGGGACAGACCATTTTATGTATCAGGATCCTGAGAAATGTGAGGTCTATTCCTCATCCACACCCACACGAACGATGGAAAATTGCTATTTAAACGTTGCAAATGATGACAGTGAAAATCTGGGTGAATGGAGACTTGAGTTTGACCGTGAGCCAATGGGCATCGGGAGGGTTGCCTCACTCCTGGACCAGTGAAACTGACAGCATTTTAGAACTATTCAAACCACTTGGTCAGAACACGCATTACATCGGGACCCTGGGTTGATATTGGGGTGGCAGTTCCCCATTCCTGGGCACTGGGACATTTGGAAAGCTGGGTGTGGCTTCCCCCTCCATCTCTCCCCTTCCTCCAGAGACAAGAAGAAATAGAGAATTTGGAAACAATGATTTCAGCCACTTCTCCCTATCCCTCAATCCTCCCCATCCTGGTCAACTATGTAATCATCATTAAACAAAAAAAAAAAAGCTGCCATTTTTTCAGACGATCCCCTAGGGGGCAGAATTCCTCCCAGGGAGAACAGGCTGCAGACCCAGGAGCAGCCTGGAGATGCTGCCTTTTGTCTCTCCTTTGCTTTTTTGAACTTAGATCCTCTGGTGACAGCAAAGGAGGTAAAAGGGCAAACACATTCCTAAGCCAGGCTGTGTTTTATCTTGGATTAGTTAATAGCTCTCATTCTTTAAGATGAGCCTCTAAAAAGTCACTTTTATACCTGGTACCTACAATATCCTTTCTAGCTGATACCGATGATACTTAAGACACCGTTTGGCTACAGTGAAATATTTTCCAAGCCAATTTCATAGGAGGATCACTGAAACTGATCGCCTGAACAATGGGAAAGGTGGTTCCAAATGGAAAAAGGAAAGATGCCTGCCAGGGTGGTAGAAAGTTCTTGCATGAAGAACATTGGTACTTGTCATATTCATGCTGACCTTCCACATTTGCTTATCCTTGATATCCAACTCATCATGACAGCTACATACAAATCCCAGGTATTATTTGGGGATGCACTTGTATAAATAATACACTATTTATACAGAAAAAGGTTACTAGTTCAGTACATTCCCACTGAAACTGATCACATTTCAATTCATTATACTAAAGTATAATAACACTTTCTATATGGTCTCCTTTTTTTTCATTTTACACTTTTCAAAAAACTATTTTATAGTTCCATAGGCTCTGAGATTTCCTTTGCCCCTTTCCCAAATCCCCTCCCTCCCAGTGATTTTCCCTATATTATTACAGCAGTAAAGTCCTTCATAAACAGTTGTAAGCCCATCATTCTGCTATTTAAGTGTATTGTGACACTGAGAGTATAGACAATGGAGGGAATGCAGCATCCTATTGTCAAGATATATTTAACAGTTTCATTGGGAGTCCATCTTTGATTTGGACGTAGAGATGCACACTACATTGTATGTTCCCATCTGGATATGATAGTACCTATTACAGAGTTACTATACATCCCCTCAAATGAAAAGCCACAAAACAAAAGCAACAATAGTAAGAAAATGGAAATTTACAATGTCATAAAGTTAAATAACATGCTACTGAATGACCAATGGGTTGCTGGATAAATGAAAAAGAAACTCAAGAACCTTCTTGAAGAAAATGATGCTATTGTAGGTTCCACCTAACTCCAGTGAGATTGACCTACATTCAGAACTCTACTACACCGGCTGGCATGGATGTGGGAAGAAAGGTACCCTCCTTCACTGTTGTGGGGAGTGTGGGCTAGTACAACCACTGTGGGAGTCAGTATGGAGAGTACTAAGAAAACTGAAAACTGACCTGCTGTATTACCCAGTTACTCCACTTTTGGGAGTATCTCCAAAGGAAATGAAATTTACATATAAGAAAGGGATCTGTACTCCTATATTTATAGCAGCACAAACTATAATAGCAAAGTCATGGAAACAACCCAGATGCCTGTCACAAGAGGAGTGGTTAAAGAAACTGTGGTGCATCTACTCCATGGAATACTTCTCAGCCATTAGAAAGAATGAAATTCTACCATTTACAACCAAATGGTCACAACTAGAGACCATTATGCTCAATGAAATAAGTCAATCCCCAAAGGACAAATATTACATGTTCTCTCTGATATAAGGCAATCTCCTTACAAAATACAAGATCAATAGTCATTTCAATACTGTTTTTTGCTACAGCTCATGGATTATGGTATTTTTTGTTTTATTTTCATTTTTCTCTCTTATTAAATTCTTCACTGACTTATGGGTTTCTTTTTTAATACCAGATTAAGCACTCTAGTGATTTAGCAGATTAATGAGCAGTCCTCAGAACGACCTCAAACTAGGTGAAATGGTACAATTTATAAAGTGAACAGCTTTGGAATGTAGATGGAGGCTGATGACTTCCAAGTTTATCCTGTGGGAGAGAGGAACTGAGAGGAAGAGCCTCACACACTTTACATTGTACAGGACTGTGCTGACCCCTTCCTGCCAATCTTGTGGCAGGTGTTCTGATTCAGATACTTGGCTTAATCATATTAAAGGAGATTATGAAGAAGCTTTAAAACGCCAAGACTATTGTACAGTGACACAATTATTTGGAGACAACTCATCAGAAATTATTACAGGAAATTTGAAATAAAACAACAGTTTGCTTAGTAAGTGAAGAGCCAGAGGCACAGCTGGCTAAGATGGACTCAGGGTTCCCAGCAACTCAGTTCCATGCACTCACTGTCTACCTTTCTGGCAGGTAAAAGATGCCAGTGATCAACATCGAAGACCTGACAGAGAAGGACAAGTTGAAGATGGAAGTGGATCAGCTCAAGAAGGAAGTGACACTGGAAAGAATGCTGGTACCTGACTGCTTTCCTTTGAATTGAGTTCCTTTTGTATTAAGCTAAAAGATGTTGTGGAAGTACTAGGTCACAAATCATCAGCTGTCCTTTGTTTATTTACGGACGGGGGGGGGTGGGGGAGGGAAGGCAAATACAGATAAAGACAAGTTAAACAAGTAAAACTTCACTAGAGATTGAATGTTAATAATTGCAATTTTGTATTGATTTAGACTCTAAATCTAAAGGCCTAGCCACATCATTTCCATAAGCCCCATTCAGCTCTTGGCCTGTGTTTTGTATTACTGGCAAGCTAGGAAAGATTTTACATTTTTAAAAAAGATTTACTTATTTATTATTGGAAAAGCAGATACACTGAGAGGAGGAGAGAGAGAGAGGAAGATCTTCTGTCTGCTGGGTCAGTCCCCAAGTGGCTGAAAGGGCCAGGGCTGAGCTGATCTGAAGCCAGGAGCCCAAGCCTCTTCCGGGTCTCCCACATGAGTGCAGGGTCTCAAGGCTTTAGGCCTTCCTCAACTGTTTTCCCAGGCTAAAAGCAGGGAGCTGGATGGGAAGCGGGTTCGCCAGGATATGAACTGGTACCCAAAGGGGGTCCAGGTGTGTGCAAGGCGAGGACATTGGCTGCTGGGCTACTGCACCGGGCCAGAGTTTTACATTTTTAAAGAGTTATTTTTGAAAAAAAAAAAAAAGGAAGAAAGAAAGAAAAAAAGGAAGGAAAGACAGACAAAAAGGAAGGGGAAGAATGGAAGGAATTATAGACAAGAGATAGAAACTAGTGAAGAAGAATATTAGAGACGGTATTTTTGCTATACCATAAAATGTAGCAATGCTTACAGGCACTAAGCCTTTATTTTTTCTAAATTCTCAAGCTTCCCTTTTTTTCCACATAACAATCTGTTGTTATTGAGAAAGGTACACTCATGACCTCACATTTTAGCACTCTCATGGTTAGAATAAACGGCTACATTCCATGCTTCTGTAAGCTCTTCTCTTTCACATCATGAAGAACCCACGCACAGGAGCTCCGTGGCTCCTCCCAATGCCATCCGCCAGCTCTGAGACAGTCAGAACTCTGCACTTAGGCGGAATGGAAACGGCAAAGGAAGAAAGCTCCCAACAAACAGGAACTGCAGCTTGGAAAATGTACTCGTGCAGTTTAGATCTCTTCATTTTAGGGAGTTTGCAGAAGAAAATCTTCTCCATAAGTGATAACAGCATATTTTATATTTTTAAATCTAACTTTATCAACACCAAGTACAAGAGAGAGTTTGTATTATCTTCATACTTGGCTCAAAACTTCTACTCGCAATCAAAATTGGGACTTTAGCTTCTTTTATAACTGTCTCGGACTTATCTGTTCTTCTTTCCATGAAAGTAAATTATGTTTTGCTGTAAAGATAAAACTAAATCTATTACCAGCACAAAAACTTGGGACACACAGTAAACAAGTTGAAATCCTTATCTTAATAATTTTGGAGCAAAATAAATGTTTGGAGGAAAGGAGGGCTGTTTTTCTTTTTTAAGTTGAAACAAATAGCCATGCACCATTTTATTTGTGTATTCAGGATTATTCCTTTGTGAGCAATTGAGTGATCCCATCTTTATTATCCATTTGTGGTAAATTAACCTTGGAATTTGTATTGGTGATAAACTTCACTCAGGCTTTGGGGTCCTTTTTCCCTATCGATCCATCTCCTTTCTCTTAGAATCAAATGTGTCTTAATATCACAGTACAAAAACTACATGCACAGAGAAAGAAAGAGAGAGACAGAGGTGCCTTGCATGCTCTGTGCAGTCTGTTTGGGCAGAAGGCTGTGGCCTTGCTGGCTTATAAACAAAAGAAATTTATTTCTCATCATTCAGGAAACTGAGGAATCCCAAATGAGGGCACACAGCAGATTCGGGGTCTGGTGAGGGGATGCTCCCTCCTTCAGAGCAGGCTGCCTGTCCATGGTGTCCTTGCCTGGTAACAGGAGCCCGTAAACTCCCTGGGGTTTCCTCATTAAGGATTCTGATCCTATTTGGAAGGGTTCATGACCTAATCACCTCACCTCCAAAGGGTTCCACTTCCTAGATGACAGTATACGGCTTTGCGGGAGATGCAGTCAGCTGAATATATAATACATAATGGAAACCCGTGGTCCCGCACCTTTAGTTCTGAGACAGGCCAGCAAAGGGTTAGTACGCGGTCAGGAATGGGAGTGGACAGATCTGGAAATATATATGCCAGGTCAGAAATTCTGGCTCCACAAACTTTCTGCCTGTGCCCCCCGCCCCCCACCGAAATTATCCAGCTGAGCTCTGTCTGCTTCCTCAAAGTGGGCTAGCATCAGCATCCAGTTTAGAGGACAAGTGGGAGAAACCCATGCGGGAACAGTCACACGGTTCTGTAAACAATGGCAGTAGGCACCAAGGACTTTCTACTATTATTTTACTACCAATATTTTAAAATTATTGATATCCATGAGCCTTTCTCTATTTTATTGTCAATACATTAGTCAGAGTAGAAAAACTGTCAGCATCCAGTTTCTCGTAGCATGCAGCAATTAAAAACAATCTTTGTAGTGATAGTAAAAGAAGTTACCGTGCGACTTGTTACAATCTTCTTGTGCCAGCTGCTCATTAGGCATTCAATGCAACCAATATTGCTATTCTTATTCTGAGTCCCTTAGAACTGCCTTAACTTTCCACTGTGACATGCAATCCTATTTTAAAGTACACATATACAAGAAATGTCACAGAAGCACACGACTCTAAGTAATCGGTACGCCTGTATCTTCAGATTCTAGCCCTTCACTCTGGTTCCTGGCATCTGGTGGGCTTAAGCTGGCATTTAGGAAGGAGTGTGGGAAAGTGGGGAGGGGGGGAGTAATCTAAATCACTCCTGATTTCAAAAGTATAAATTTGCAAGTATCATTTTAGGAAGAAGACACTCCACTCTGCTGGCCCCAAATTGGAAACAATTTGTTCTAATGGGTACAGGATGAGTTTTCAGGGTTGCAAAGCAATCTTCAGTCTTATTTGTAACGTGGCTGGGAATTTGCATATGGAAATATCACAGAGATTTTCTTTGAGAACAAACAATATTTGGTTAAGCAACTCGTGGAGTGGGTGGCCATTTACTGTATTGCCCAAATTGAACTGGTTTTAGATTACTGTCATGAAATATACCTTAATTGAAAACAAAACATCCCAGTGCCTATAAAACTGTGTCACATAATGCAATGCAATCAATAAAAAAAAACACACTGAAGTATACAGAGTATGAAAATTTGATTCTCTAGGTGGCATAGGCGTGTGTGTACACACACATTTATATTTATGAATTAATTGGCCTTGCCGGTCTCTAGAAAGAGTATAAAGTACTATATAAGCAGACTCCAGGGGAATCCAGTTAATTCAGTTAAGCTGAAATTCAGAGCACCAGCCAAAGCCCAGCTCTGTTCTGGACGCAGGGAAGGAGACAGTGAAAAACTCACCCAAGGGTCTTTGACCCATGAAAACTCATTCCTGTAGAGGAGTCCTGTGTGAAAGTTCACGTGTTTACTTTTAGGCATCCCACAGTGGCAATAAACCTGAAAATCAGTAATGACTCATTTCCTTTGACCTTTACATGTCACACTTTTGGAATGAGGACAATGATTGGATCAATAATGGCCTGGAGACATTCATGACTTGTGTTGCTAGCTGAGTTCTGATGCTTGGATCCTGACTGGAAGATGCCAGAGGCCATGCACCTTGAGAACTAGGTGTCTGTGTGTTCTGACTGTGGGCAGGAGGTCAGGGGAGTGAGCAGCCTTTGGTTCTAGCCCAGGAAGCCCAAGTGCAGTGACAGAAAGCAGAGAGAATGATGGTACAAAGACACAGAATGAAAATGGCTTATAAAAAGTGCATTCTTGGGATCTGCAGCTTTCTGTTGGATACCAAATGAGTCATTTCCTTCTCCTTCTCCAGGTATCCAAATGCTGTGAAGAAGTAAGAGACTATGTTGAAGAAAGATCCGGGGAGGACCCGCTAGTCAAAGGTGTCCCCGAGGACAAAAATCCCTTCAAGGAGCTCAAAGGAGGCTGTGTCATTTCCTAAGAGAAAAAAAATCCTGAATTCTAATGACCATGTAAAGTTTCCTCTATGTAATAAAACTATTGACCAGGTACAAGTATTTTCAAATTTATAAAAATAAGCTTTTCATGAAACTCGGAGGTGATAATACATACTTCTATGTCTTTTTAAAAGTACTCAGCACAAGGCTTTATGTGTAATTGACTAGATATTGATGGATTCTGCTTTAAAAAATAATCAGTATGATTGTAAGTGAATTTAGGTTTTACTGAATTTATTGTTGTCCTTTTAAAACAGATAAAAATAATCTATTACCTGGTCCGGAGTGGGACGTGAGGGTCATCCTACAGAGTTGATGTTTCTGTTTCAGCACTCCTGGTATTCCACTCAGAATCTTACAGGTTAGGCTCCCATATTTTCTTCCCAATCTTATCCCTGCTACCAAACAGAATTTGCAAGACTATCCATTTGACGTGCTGAAAATCTATCTTGACAAGATATGTGTGTGCAGAGGTTTGGTTTTTGATGGTTTCTATTTCCCTTTCCCTCCGACCTCCAATTCTACTTCTTAGTGATGCTTTCCCAGGACTGCTGTGGTGAGGCGCTTTCTGTGGACACATCCCAGTGAATTTAAGCAGCACTGAAATAAAGCTTATGAGCACAGAACCAGGTAGCAGAAAATGCTGGTTCTGCCACTTTACTGCCTAACTGAGCTTGGACAGACACTTCTTCCTTTCTAAATCTGTTTCCTCTACTGCACAATAAAGATAATAGTGGTTTTATCATCCTCCTTTTTGGAGGTCAAATAATACACTGGTTTAACTGTAACAGCTATTACCTAGCACATATAAAGCCTGGTAAACGTTAACTTCTGTTGTTACCAGGAAAGGTTCCAGAGGGAGCGTCCAGGATCTTTTAAGATCTTGCACCCATCCCCATGCAGACACTTCGTAGCGCAATCTTTTTCATGGCAGAACGATGGCCTACAGCAGGAAACCCACCAGCACACTCACCTTCCACATCACTGCCCAGCTAGGCTCCTGCACGCATCTTACTGAAGCCAAATAGCACCATCTCAGTGCTGGTGGTTAGGCAATAACTTGTAACCTGCTACTGTAACAACAGGTGAATGGGCCTATTCTGGATCAGAAACTGTTTTGATTGCCAATGTCTCCTTGTTGTCATCTAACTTGGTAAAAGTTCAGAACTTCTCAGAAATGCTCACTGATAGTTGTCCCTTGAAAGGAGCCAGAGAATAAACCATCCATTATTTAGTCTGGAAGGGAGTAGTGTGAGGGCCCCTCTATACTTGGTACCACTCCCAGTACCCTTCCACTCTGATCAGTGTGTGTTCCACTGTTATCTTGTATCTCTTGTCCAACTCCTTCAGCTTGAAATGAAGAGAATGAGGGCTTAGAGACATGAAAATTTCTGATTCAAACTCTGTCTGGCTTCATGGCAGCCCCGCCTCCCACACGTCCTTATCCCATACATTTTGGATAATACAGGATTTTGTGTTAAACTGTAGAATCTCTATTCTCTCTTTCCTCAGCAGAAAATCATTTCCTACTATGGCAAATTACAGAATCCCTCTCCGTCTACTCCTCCAGGGTTTCCTGACTCTTTTGTTCATTCTGTTTCCCTCCAAGGCACCCATCAGAATCACACATGCTATTTATTCTATTAATTCATTTAATTATGGTCTGTCTCTAGGGATTTTCCATGTGTTTATTTAATGAATTCCATGTATTTGATTAAAATAAATACAAAGTCTTTATTGTGGCATTCAGTAGCTGTAGAATATAATCCTGACCAGCACCCTTAGCTTTTCCTTACAAGTGGAGACAGATTTTAGAGCCAGACAAGTCTTAATTACAATCCCGGTTCTTGCACTTTCCAAGGGAAAGTTTTAAAAAATGACTTCAGCTCTTTGAGCCTCCATTTTTATGCTACATAAAAAGAGGATCTCAATATGGACATATTAAATCAAAGACAGGTATCAAGACACTTTCATCAATGTCCTGGGTTATTACAGACCCTGTAGACTTCTTGTCATCAACAAGCACAACTACTAGGAATCCTATCTGATGTCATATTTTCTCACCCTCGTGGATTTGCTCACACCATTGCACCTCTGTATTTCATTTCAGTTCTTTTTCCTTGCTCTGGTTCGGGGGTATTTTGTATATCTCTTAAGACATCTAACCTTATTTCATTTTCAATTTATTTTTTTCATTTTATTTGAGAGGTAGAAACAGACAGAGGACTCCCCCATCCACCGGCTCACTCCCCGAATGCTCCAGGCTGAAGTCAGAGCTGGGTACTCAATAGCACTTCGCAAAGTGAGTGGCATGGACCCTAAAACTTGAGCCATCACCTGTTGTCTCCCAGGGTGCACTTTGGTAGGAAGCTGGAATCAGCAGTGGAGCCGGGGCTTGAACCCACACACTCTGACACAGGACTCAGCATTCCCAAACTAAAACGCCCCTCACCAACGCTATTTGTTTTTCTTGTTATGATTTGTGTAGTTGTCTTAATTTCTGTGCTCTATTGTAAATATCCCAAGCCAAAAATTTTGTTTATCTTTAAAACTGCCATACCAACTTGCTATAATTTACTTGGCTTTATAAATGTTGAATTCAAATAAAAGCAAGGACAAAATTTATGAAATGTTTATGTCAGACAATCTAGAATTCCTGTGGCTTAATGATCAAGTCAGTAATAGGATAAAATTTTTGTTGTTAAAAAAACAGAATACTGGGCCCAGCACGGTAGCTTAGCAGCTAAAGTCCTTGCCTTGCACACCTGGAATCCCACATAGGTGCCAGTTCTAATCCTTGTGGACACACTTCCCATCCATCTCCCTGCTTGTGGCCTGGGAAATCAGTGGAGGACGGCCCAAAGCCTTGGGACCCTGTACCCATATGGGAGACCTGGAAGAAGTTCCTGGCTCCTGGCTTCGGATCAGAATAGCACCTGCCATTGCGGTCACTTGGGGAGTGAATCATCGGACGGAAGATCTTCTCTGTCTCTCCTCTCTATATATCTCACTTTCCAGTAAAAATAAATAAATCTTAAAAAAACAATACCAGCAGAGGTTTGAATCAGAGAGGAATCACAGAAAGGAAGTAGAGAAAGATGGTATGAGAACAAGGAAACGAAACCATGGCTGCCCTACAGGCCACAGAGCGGAACAGGCATTAACTCCGTCGTGTTCAGCACTTGTTCTTTCACAGCCAAAGTCAACGGAAATGAGGCGCTGCCTACACACCCTTAGCACGCCATTCTTCACCAAAACTTCCTGGCCTCATGTGTCACAACGAGTTATTAGAGATGCTATATCATTTGAACTGTTGGTACATTGGAAGTATCTGCATACTTTTTTTTAGCTCAATCTTTGGCAAGAAGAAACAAAGCGGTTATTTTAATCTGGACTGACTTCATTATAGCCAGAAGCTAGATTTCCAAACAAAGCTAATGACCAACTTGCTAAATCCCCAGAAGAATGAGTTAATATAATGAAAATAACTAATGAAAGTGGACAAATACATAACTGAACATTAGTGTTTTTTTAAGAAATGCATAGAGCGAGAAATGTTGCCTTTTTACTTTGAGATGTGTAGCACAGGTTGGGGCAGAGACACAGAGGCGCTACATCACACAGCTTCATTACCCAGATGCCCACAACGGCTGGTCCTGGACCAGGCTGAAGCCAGGAACTAAGAACTCCACCCAAGCAGGTTTCTCAATGGGTTGGCAGAAACCCAGCAACTGAGCCACATCTGCAGGAGCAGAAAGTGGAGGGGGGAGCTGCACGTGCACACGGAGCTCGGTACCACACTGTGGGAGGCAGGTACCCTGACCAATACCTTAAGTGCTAGCCAAATGCCCACCTGGGGAATTGATTTTGCTATCATGAACTAAATCTCACTATTGAGATCATTGGAACATCAGATAAATTTTCTTCTCAGCTGATATTGTATCTAGAAAAGAAACCTTATGCATAGATATATGAAATAATTAAGTTCCTAAAAACTTGTTATGAGACAGTTTTAACAAACTAAAGCAAATATTAAGTGATTCAAGTATACAGCAAGAGGCTAGCATTGTGGTATTGTGGGTTAAGCAACCACCTACCATGCTGGCATCCCATATGAGAGCTCATTCAAGTTCCAGTTGTTCCACTTTTGATCCAACTCCCTGCTAATGTGCTTGTGAAAGCAGCAGAGGGTGGCCCGGTACATGGGCCTCGGTGTCCTCAAGATGGCCTTGGCCCCTTGATTTGGTCTGGCCCAACTCCAGGCCAATATGACCATCTTGGGAGTGAGAAAATACAAGATCTCTCTCCCTCTAACTTTAAAATCAATAAATCTTAAAACCCAAAAACATCACTGTCATTTTACTACTTAAAACCAAGCAACAATACAACATTTTTCAGAATGCTGTGTGGTCACAGCATTTCACCATTCATTTTAGTTTAATCAATTTACTTATTAAGTAAACTTATTAAGTTACTGACATGTGAATTATCTGGTAACAATAAAAAGGTTTTTAAAAGTAGCTTCCTAAGTACTTCATCTCTAATTTAAGCCTCATAATACTGTGGAGAACGTTAAAGTACCAATATGGGTTTATAAATATTTATCCCATCATGTAACTAGATGATTTCAGAGGGAAGAAATGTCCAAGCCAAAATAATTCTATTTTTAGAAATTAGAAAAGATACGCTCACCTTCATTTCCTTAACCAACACACTAATTGAAGCTGCTGTTAAAAGGATTATTGTCACCAGATTACTTAAGCCATTTTAAACCAACCCTTTAAACTTAAGAAATCAAAAATTAAATGAAAAAAAAAAGGAATGTGTTGTGCAGACAGATGTCGGTTTTGTCTTGGCTCCCTGCTTTTTAACAAGGGAAACTTTGGCAGAGGATCTAACTGCTGCGCCTAGGCGATCTGGGCCTTTCCAACAGAGAGAATGTGAGCCCCAGCACATTTTCTGTGTTAACGATTTGCGCTGTGGAGATGCTCAAATTCAAGCAGCGCCACCTGAACTGACTCACGCCCTCTCGGCCACTTACCTTACAAATGAGAACACCCAAATTCCGAAGAATGCCGGTGACTTTGCTGTCACAGCCAGTGGCAGAGCAGGGACCACAACCCAGGAGCTCCCTGTCCTTTCTAGCGGCAAGTATTCCAAGAGCAGAAGGGGGTGGAGGAGGACCACGAACAAAGCCAGCTCACTCTCCCAAGTCAGGTATTCTGAACTCAAATAAGCTCCTCCTGAGCTTGACTTGGTCAAAGTCTTTTTGAGAGAAGGAGAAATATCCTCTTTGGAGGCTTCCTACACGTATGCTCTATTTTTCTTCGGTCTTCGTTAACCAGTCCAAGTTTATAGTAGAAGGGAAGGTTTACATTACACGTCTGTGTCCTTCACATCACACGCTTTTGCAGGCTTCCCAAAGCACCAACTAAATGAATATATTTCCCCACAAGAAGAAAATCCAGTTCTCGGGAATCCGTGGCCCACATCCCGGAAAGTAAATCCAAAGCATCCGATGTCCACAGGACCACAGGGTTGTGCGCCCGCTGGCCAGCCCGGCCACGCCAGCCATTTTGCCTTTTGGCTGAGGAGGACGCAGCCCACCTTATCCATCCGCCAGGAGCGACCAACAGCTCTCCTGAGCGCCACTATGAGCTGTCTGGCAAGGTAGCCGGGCCAGCAGGCACGAGAGGGTCCAAATCCAACCGGACCGTAACAGGGTTCCAGCCCCTGGTCTCTCAGGATCAGTGGAGAGCTACGCACCTCCCGCCATTTTGTTCTGAGCACACCTCTGTGACCGTGGGCCCCTGCGTGGGTCCTTAGGGGTGTGGGTGCCCTAAGGAAGCTGCTGGGTCAAGGCCTGTCCTCGTCCATTGTTAGGCCTCGAGGTTCAGTTGGAGTGGGGGAGAGGACCAGCTTTGCTACCCATACCCGGGTAATGGCGGCGTGGGGACGCTTTGCTAAAAAAGGCTATGGTTTCTGCTTCCTTCTTCCTGTGGTGCCCTTATCTTCCAGGCAGTACAGAGCATCCCTTGGACAAAACACAACTCCCTTGTGGAAGCTGAAACGCCCCTGCGAGAGACCAGCAGCATTCCTTTCACCCCTAAAAAGTGTGAAGCCACGTTCTGCTCAGAGGCCGGTGGGCGCGACCGCCCCTTCCCTTCCACCTGCACCCACGGACACGCGGCTGGGGACAGGCCGTGGATTCTACCTTAGTCCTTTCAATACATGCAGGGGTGAGGACCCGTGTTTCCTGCTGGTTTTGTGTCCTCTTTTCCTTGCTCCACAAACAAAACCCGGATGTGACTTACAGGAGAAAAAAAAAAGTAAAACTCGTGCCGTCCCGGCCCTGCGGGGGCCCAGCCCAGCCCAGCGGCGCGGGCGTGGCGTGGAGGGGCCGAGCCAGCGCCCGCGGGGCCAGCATCCCTGCCGGGGCCGCGCCGCTCCAACCCCGCCGGGCTGCGCGCTCTGCCAGGCCTCCCGGGCTGTTGTGGACTCCAGCAAGAGCCTGGGGGGTTGAAGCGCCCCGGACGCGCGGGCAGGGCCTGGCGTGACGGGGCGGCCCGGAGGGGCGAGCCCTGGGCAGCGGCGGGCGCCGGGAGGCGGTCACGTTTCGTGGGTGGCGGGGCCCCCGGTTATTTCTGGACGCGCTTTGGTGCGCGGCGCTTTTAGCGGCTCCACGGCCCCAGCGCCCCCGGGGCCCAGTGCTGGGACCAGAATGCCAGCCCTGCACATCGAAGATTTGCCCGAGAAGGAGAAGCTGAAGATGGAAGTGGAGCAGCTACGCAAAGAAGTGAAGTTGCAGAGACAGCAGGTAAACGGGGTTGGGGTGGTGAGGGAAAGTTTTGCTCCTGACCGCTGAACCAGCCCCTCGCAGTTAGGGTATTGGGAAGCCCAGAAAAGTTTCGTGGTTTTTTTTTTTTTTTTTTTTTTCTTCTCCCAACTTGTCTTTGGCGGGCGCCTGGGAACTGCCTGGGGAAGCGAAGACCAGAGGGAAAGTTAGAGGAAGGGGAAGCCTGAGAGCCTGAGGCTTTGGGGCACAGGGACTTCAAGACAGCTGCTTGCCCCGGTGGGGCAGCTGGGTTCCTGAGCCGGGGGCACGGGGAAGGCGTGCTCACAGCCCACTCCTCCACTTCGCAGAGCCGCATTACCTGTTTGTGGATTGCACCAGTGGCCTTCAGCCCTGTCCTCTGGCTTGGGAGCACAGTGTTAAAATTTCCGCTTTTACCTGTTGCTTTCATCCCCTAATATGTTTTGTAAGACCACCTTGTAGGCGAATATAGACACAGTCGTCGTCTTGTGTGAGTAAATTAGCACGCACACTTAGACGATGAATCTTAGCCCCAGTGCAAGTGTGGGCGCTCCCGTGAGAGCCCAGGCCCAGGCACGAAGCTCCCGCGGGTGCTGGGGGAGGTTTTGTCATTTTCACTTCCATTTCTTACTGCTGATAGGGCTTCCGGAAGACAGTTATAATTTTTTTTAGCTTATTTGCACTCACTTAATCCCAATCAGACAATCTGTGTAGTTATAGGAAAAAGCTTTGAGGTAGTTTGTTGTTGTTTTTTTTTTTTAAGAAACTAATTTTTTCCTCCACAGCAATAGAATTTTGAATGTACGTTTAAACTTAGTACTAGCAAATTTAAACAAAGAAAAAAGAAAACAATGGAAACGGTGTAAATATTCTCGCTGGCCTTCCTGCTCCAGGTTCTGACACATTCGTCCGTGGTGAGGGTCTCGTTATCCCTGCACGACGGGTTTTTCTTGATATGCAGTTTTTGGAATGTAACCCTTCATTTCCAAATGCCTGCTGTATCCGCCTACATTCTGTGTAAGGATGTCCCGAGAGTTCTTCTGCAGCTTTAAAAGTGTTATCCATAAGTGGAAAGGAGAAAGCCCAGGGAGAGGACCTGATGAGTCACTCAGCTTCCGCAGAGCTCAAGGCCGCACCCCCAGGCAGCCAGTGCTGGACATCTGCACTGCCCCAACATACTGCAGCTCTGGGCTTGCCGGGGGACAGCTGCGTGTGCCCAAGGAAAACATCTTCATGTTCATTTGCCATTCCATTCCCATTTCCTTGTTAAAAACCTCACTCTTGCAATTTGTCTCAGAGGGTAGACTTTTTGAGGAAACTTCAAGTTTTTGAGAAAACTCCAAGGAAGAGGTTTCAACTGACTGCATAAGTTTCAGATATTCGCCTCTGATAACCCTTTGCTATGGTACTGGCCTTCCTGCTGAGCAGAGTGGGGGCGTATGGCAATACCAGCTCTTCCAAGTGCTTCACGTCCTGTGAATTCCAGAACGTGACACACCCATATGTGAGATGATGCCTAAACACCCCAAACACCTGGAGGTTATCTAATACTGCACCTGCTGGTTAGTGTGGAAATTCAAAATCAGACTATGTTTTAGTTGCTATAATGTGACACAGCATGGTTGTATTTTAACTGTGGAAGGAAATCCTATTGGCACAATGGATAGAAAAGGTTGGGGCTGACTTTAATGTGCAGACTTTCAAACTGTTTTGATCTTAACCAATAGGAAGAAATAGATCTTATATAATTTGAATTGTATATATGTGCACAGGATGCATACATACTAGAATAAAAATAGGGCAGCAGAGCTTTCTTTATATTGTAATTTTAAAAAAACTGACTATATTCAATTCTGTTAATTTCACTAAAGGGTGTTGACAGTGTTTGAAGAACTCTAATTCATTTCCTTTTTTACCCTTTTTTCCCCCCTACACTGAAGGTGTCTAAGTGTTCTGAAGAAATAAAGAACTATATTGAAGAACGTTCCGGAGAGGACCCACTGGTGAAGGGAATTCCAGAAGACAAGAATCCTTTTAAAGAAAAAGGCAGCTGCATTATCTCCTGAGTAACCCTGGGGAAAACGCCTCCTCCGTGGAAGGGCCCAGATCCCCGCAGACAACCAGCACGCCTCCACGGGGAGGAAGGGGATGCTCGGGATGCTGGGAGGAGGCCCTCCCCAGGCACCACAGAGATTGCCAAAAAGCATTCGCACTGCTCACCTTTGCTCACTTCGCAGAGTGTCCGATGTAAAACTAGCCAAGTTGACAATGTTACCAATGCTTGACTCACCTCTATTTTAAACCTGCTGCTTGATGCCTCAAATAAAGTTTTGTGTGAGGAAAATCAGTGTGGTTGATTAAAAAGAGCTCTTTTCATGTGTTCACTTTACTGTTTCTTTCCATAACTTTTTAGGTGGTTGTGACAGGTGTCCAAATGTTATAGGTCAGGTCCGCTGTCCAGATCTCTGTCTCACTGCTGTATGGTGCCAAGTTGTCACTTCTGGAAGGTGTCTGAGCAGGTAGACTGCCTGTCACGTTGACAGGAATCAGACTACTTGAGCAGGAATTATGCCATCTGGTTTATCTAGGTCTTGTTTAAAGTGTCTCCACAGGAGCATCCTTGAGAAGGGCCTGCTTGGCCCTCAGGAAGAGCCCCACCTCCTCCAGGCTGCTGTGGCCAGCCCCCAGCCCAGGGCCCGGCTCAGACACCTGCAGCTCTGCAAGCACTCCTGCCAGTGTTCTCCTCTTGGCTCAGGCCAGCCAGAACTCTTCCTCCAAAGCTCTTTAAACTCCTATGACCTGTACAAGTTGAACATTTCCCTGTGCATGGGGTTGGTTCAGCAGCATCTGTTGTGGCTGGCCTTGATGGTTGTTTTGTTGTTGTTTTTTGTTACCTGGTAGAATCAGAAGGTCGTGCAATGCTGGAATAGGAGAGTGTGTATTTTTTGTTGACTTTAGGATGCTGGTTTCACTGTGGGTATAATTATGCAAAGCAAAGAATTCAAGAAAGAATTGCTGGAGAAATTAAAAATGCGATTTTGTAGGAAAGTACCCATCCAGATCAGGAAAGAAAACAAACCACCAGCAAGAGCAGCAACTGAGAAATCTTGAGCACAGAAAAGCTGAAGTGAGTCTGAATGGCAGAGAGGGGCATTTATGTTCAATAAGAATGTTTTCAATCAAGTAAATAACTACATTGGAGTTGTCAAACAGGAACAAGAAATCTTTACTCATTAAAATCATCTTTTTCTTACTAGTTTAAAGGGGTTCTTCATTTATGGTAGTCATTCACCCTCTCTTAGAGACGTGTGTTACAGATGATTATTACTTCCAGGTCTCTGGCTTAGCCTTTCCCAGTGACCTTGACCTTGATGATGCAAGTTTGAGAGTGGAGTACAACACCTGCCCTAGTGTTTTAGGAAGTTAACTGCAGCTATCAGTCCCTCAAAGGAAGGTCAAACTTCCTTTGAACATTTTTCCCTTGGCTTTCCTGTCTCTTGGATGCAAAGAAAAAGCAAGGAAAACCTTTGCATGATAGCTCTGGCTCAAATGGGCTTGGTCAATAATGTGTCTGGAAGTTTTAAATGTGGCACCAGCATCATGCTCAGCTGGATCTTTCCTCTGCCTAGACTTGGAGCTGCGCCTTATTCATCGTGTAGGATAATATCTGCTACCTGGCCAAAGTGTAGCTTTCCCTTCACTCCGAAAACCCTTTCCCAAAGAAGGAACTGGATCACCAGGTTTTTGAAAAATAGCTTGCAGCAAACCCAAAGCAGAGACTACTTCCTTCTGGTTCCAGTCATTGTTCAACTGGATGACATCAACTAGGATAATTGGGAATCCAGGGATAGTTAAAGCCCAAAGCACGATCTGTTCCAAGATAAGGTTTAAAAACAGCAAAGGCATATTTCTTTGAAGCAGCTGAACACAATTCCTATTGAGGATGTGCTGCTACTATTTGCCATTTAACCTAGCCTGGGATTTGGGGGCCTTGGTGCCTGTACAATCTTCCTTTAATGGGATGTTTCATTTTTCCCTCCCAGTTCTCAGTGTTTTGTTTTGTTTTGTTTTTAACTGAATAACAAACCAAACATCTATTTTGGTGGCTGGAAAGGCAGGTCACTTGTTTAATTCCAAGAAGGTCAAGACTACACTGTTATCCCCTAACTTCCAGAGAGCTGGGATTCCAAGGCTGCATCCTGAATTTCCGTTGGCCACATTCACTCACACCTGCAAGTCCTAGCTGTTGTTATTCATGTCTCTTTAAACATATGACTAACTTGCCAACTTCTGATGGATTTTAACAAATGTCCAATCCAGCAGGCATTTCTACTAAACTTAGATCTGTTGATTTTTTCCTTAATGTTTTATCATTACAACATAATAAATATGCGAAAGCATAACAAAAACACTTGTTTTCCAAGTGTTAAAGTGCTGGAAACTTGATTTGCTTCTACTGCGAAAAAGGCAAAAGTATATATTACAAAATACTATATGTTAGAAAATACTGCAAAAGTGAAGAAGTTGTTTCTGCACTGTTAGAGACAAAGAACTCTCAATTTACTGCTCAATTAAGGGATGTAGAAATCTGCCCTTCGTACATTTTGTGTAATACATGAGAACATAAGAACATACTTTTATTCTGTTTAATTTGCTTGAAGCATCACTGGATGTTTATTCAGGTGGGAAAGGATGATCTTGACCGTCTTCTGCAATTTTGATTTCTAGATCCTATGAATGGATTAAAATGAACCAATTTCAAAAATTTTAAAATGGAAGCAAAATACATATTGCTAAGTTCAGGCTTTGCAGCTTGAGTATATTTTGTTTTTAATATCCTATAGATTAAGGAGCAATGTTTGGAAAGCTAACATTAATGGAATAGTAATGTATTTTGATTCATTAAGCTATTCCCTTATCAAAGATATTGGATCAGTAACAGATGAGTATACATCTGTTTTACTCCTATTTCTTATACTTTGAAAATACAAGCCCAAGGCTCTGGCATTAACAGTTTGCTGGTTACTTGAGAACAATGCAAAGTCCATTGGCATTAACTGTTCCTTCTCTGCAACTGAAGTTTGTCACTGAGAAACATCCTGACATGGATGTACATGCTCTTTGTAATTTTGAGAGCAAGAGAGCTCCCCATCTGCTGCCTTATTCTCCAAATACTAGCAAAGGCTAAGGCTCAGCTGGGGCCAAACTCATATCCTGAAGCAAAGTCCAGAACTCCCACGGCAGAGAGCACTGCTGCACCCCAAGATCTCCAGCAGGAGGTTGGATCAAGGCACCTGAACCGAGTACCCCATCTGGGACACAGGCCTCTCTACCAGCATCTTCCCCTCCAAGCTCCTTCATTACACGATCTGCACCTGCCTTTTCTCTTCTTTTCATAAATCTTTGAAAAAACTACATGCAATTGTGGTTTCTGCTGATTCATGCTCACATACATTATTTGAATATAAAGATAATGTAAGAATACATTACTATATATTAAGAGCTTAGGCAAATTTCCTGAGTCACACAAGTTCTAAATAGTAGATTAAGAATGGAAAGCCAGGCATTCTCAGTCCACCCAAATGCTTATTTTTTTCACTGATTTATATTATTTTTTGAGCATCTGCACATTGTGTTCTCTAAAAAAGTTCGGTCTAATTCTTTTGATTACCTGGTACACACAATGAAAACCTGTGTTGTAAACATCTGTGTTCCCAATAGCCTTTGGTGCAGATGACCGTTAGTCAAGAGAGGTTGGAATAATGAATGAGGACTTTGGGTACTGTACTGGTATTTGACATTGTTCTTGACATCTTGCTTCTCTATATATATCCTCTCTCTCTTTCTCTCACTTCCCCTCAGTCTTACTCATCATGTCCATCATCATTATTTCTGTTCTTATCACTGAAACCTGGACAGACTAATCTTAACTTCCTAAAAACCGAATCAAACCCAAATCACTGCCGGTTGGCTGAACTTCAACAGCTCGTCCCTCTGATGCTTTCTCTGAGGGTTTTACTACTGCATGATGTAAAATTTCTCCGTATTTTTCTGCTTTAAATACTTAAGAGTAGGAATATTCCATTGAAATATGGAACTAGGAATAAATTAAAAATGTGTACCGCTTAGTTACTATTAGCATGATTTATAATGCACTTAAATCTGAAATCAGAGAACTATTCCAACTAGCTAATTCATAAATCATACCACTTAAAAGTTTCTATAGGAAAATTCTGGTAGAAGACACTTGTTTTCTTTTTCCCAGTACTGATGATCGCTAATAGGTTAGCACATTCACTTAATGAGTTACTACTGAAAAGAAGAAGTATGTTTTTCAGATCCTCCTTTTTTTGTTATTTTAACATTCTGAGAAAAGCTAGATGCTTGGGGATAAATAAACCACAAGTAATAAGCACAGCACTGAAGTGATTCTCTTGTATGGTGTTTTGATGTTTCCTATGCATAGGAAACATTTCATTTGGTACTGAGAAGTAAACAGAATAACCCCACGACTTGTTTTCATTCTTGAAATGAGAAAATCAAGCCACAGGTTTAAGGGATTTCCCATGGTGGTACTTCCAACTTTAAATGTATGTTTCTCTTACCACATAGTGTCACTATTCTGTTTAAATAAATCTCTTCAGTCAGCACGCAATTTTTCTGCATATGTAATTTCCTTAAACCAAGAACACTTGCAACATACATGAGTCTATGTAAACTAGTTCCAGAAGTCAGTTAACCATCCAAAATAAAGTCTGACGTACCGTGTGTGTTTGCCTCCCACTCTACAAGTAAAACAATCTACCCTGTTCACCGGGGATAAGGCCAAAATGCATCCCTTTCCTTCAGAGAGATCCTGCCTCCACTGTGTCATTGGAAAGCAAACGCTTTGCACCATCAGTTCAAACTGTGTTGCTGCTTTACTGTGTTGAAGACTTTCAGAACATTCAGAGCACATGGTCTCTCCACTGTGCTGGGTTTCTGCCCAACTCACATATCGCATGCACCCATCTGCCTTAGAGTCACCGGCCATCAGCTTTGCCTGCCACCACAGTCAGGGGCACTGCTGCCTCTCCCACACCTTTTCTCTCAGGGACAGAGAGTCGGCCCACGGAGGTATCCTAACCTCCACTGGTGAGCACTTGAGGCTTACACTGCTGGCTCCCCATCCTTCTCCCTGGGTGCAGACACCCACTAACCCCCTTACTTGCTTGATGCCACTAGCACACGGTTTAGAGATCTGACCCCATCCTTCTCCATACCCACTGTCCCCAAGAAGTTACTAATTTTGCATTCCCTATTATCTCACTATATGACACTACTTTCAAGGGTTAAAATACTAGT